ACCAAGGGCTCAAGTAGAAAGCAGATGTTTTGAGAATGATGATGGCAACATATGTACAAATGTGCTTGACACAATTGATGTATGTATGGATTGTGATAAGAGTTGTATGAGCCCCTAATAAAATGATTTAAAGAAAAAAAGAAAAGCCCGAGCCTCAGTGACATGGCCCAGCTCAGCCAAACTATGAGCCAGGTAGTGTGTACACTTCATGCCCAGAGGACTATGGGAGCCATTTTTCAGCTAAATTCAAACAGCAGTGAATGGAAGTATTCAGCAATCTCAGTAGGGGTCCTCTGGGTGACAGGTAGCAACTTGAATCCACAGTCGATCTACCCCAACAGGAGAAGAAGCAATGCAGAGTCTACAAATCTCCATCCTCTGGCACGGCCCTGGATTCAAGCACATCCAACTGAAAGTCCTTTTGTTTGGGAAGCTCTGGAACAAAGGATAGATTCTTTCCTTGGCCAGAAAATACTGCCCGAAAGGGTGACAGCTGGAGAATGCAAATATTGTAACTTAAAGTTTTGTTTTGTTTTAAAGTCACTACAGGGAAAGGAAATGTGGTAATAGTAGTCAGGGTACAAAAGGAGGAATTTGCATACCTCTGTTGTAATGTAGTTTCACCACGGAGGGTGGGGCTGGGGAGGGATACGGTTTGTTGTGCATGGCCACTTTTGTCACTACATCTTGTTTTCGATGAAAAGGAGATTTTGAAAAGGAAGTTCACACACACACACATCTTCAAACTTGCCGAGACTACAGCATGGCTGTTTCCTATATGGGCGGTTCTGGTAACTGACAAAGGGATCAAAGCTGGACTACTATGGATGCGTGTACAAAACTAGGGAGAGCCGGGCTCAGAGGACTTAGAAATAGTGCACCCCAGAGCTTCCCGAAGTGTGTTCTATGGAAGCCTGGTCACGTAGAGAGCCTGGGCAAAGGTGGCCTGTGAGCAAACATTTCCAAAGCTCCCCCTCCTCAAAGGCTCTGGAAAAGAGGCCTGCCGCACTTTGTTGACCCCAGCACATCCTACACGGATTAGGCCACAAACGCATTTTCTTCTAGAGACACCGAAACACATACCAAGAACCCGTGTTCCTGACCACCCTGAAAGATGCTGAATGGGCTTAGAAAGGAGCACCTGAGAAAAAGCAAGTATTTTTAGAGCAAGTGGAATACATGCAACTCTCCAGAAATCTTCTAGGAAAGTTAGACTCCTTTTGAAATGCAACTTTGCTACTTCCTTCCATGGCAGTCAGGATTGCTGACAACGTGGAGGTTAGCTGAAGGAGCAAGCATTCAAAGCCAAATAAAAACAAACAAATTCACTGCCACAGAGTCGATTCCGACTCCCAGTGACCCTCGAGGGCAGGGTAGAACTGTCCCTGCGGGTTTCTGAGACTGTAGTTCTTTAGAGGATTAGAAAGCCTTCTGTTTTCCTCCACAGAGTGGCTAGTGGTTTTGAACCGCTGGCCTTCCAGTTAGCAACTCAATGCATACCCACTGTGCCACCAGAGCTGAGTGAAATGATATTCCTGTAGACAAAATCCCACAGGCCTGTCACTACTGCACAGCTTGCATCCAGGGATCTATGTACACGTGCTAAAAAGCTAGCGTTTCATTCTACCAGCCATGGATGCAGCTTGAAGCCCAGGCATGAACCTGGGGACCTATGATCTGGACCTTCTCTGTCCCCAGCTGCCTGAGGGCATCCCTGTCAACAAGTACACTAGAATCAGAGACGTAGTCTGCATCCCACTCGCAAACCAAGAGTGGGTGCTGAACCGTCCAAAAACTACCTCGAGTCTTCAGATCTCGCCAGAATTTTCTAATGGCCCCACCTATGCCCGCACGCCGCCCTAGAGGCTGCCGTGTGCTGTCCAGGTGAAGTGTTCCCACGTGTTCCACCTGCAGAATTCAGTCCATGCACAAGGCTTCAGAGCTCTCCGTCTCTGCTCTGCACCCCAAGGCGCATCTCTGAGCGTTCACAGGATCTACACGGCTCCCTCCTCTCCCGGGGCTCCTCTGTGGGGACGTGAAAATGCGGCCAAGGGCGTGCCACAATGGTGGGGTGATGGCTGTCACAGACTTAGAACTGCTTGAAAGGAAGGGGGCTAGAAATGACTAGAGCAATAGGCAGAGGTGCCTTCTGGGATGTGAAAACGGTGTTTAGAGGTTAGGAGGTGTTTGGTAACTCAGTTCCAAGGGCTAGATCCAGACAGCCTGGGTTTAGGCACACAATGTGTGACCGTCCAGGGCTTTCTACATCCTGACCTTTCTCCAGCTGGCCTCACGGGCCTGGGAATTCAAAGAAGAAAGGCCAGGTCTCGACTTCCAAGGCAACCTCACTTACCTCCACTTCCACCTTCGTGAAGGGCTGGCAGAAGGTGAGCACGCAGAGCTGCAGGCTGAAGAGAAACAAAAAGGAGCGGTGTCTCTTTCTGAGCCCGGGGGTCACCTACAACGATCCAGCGCGCCTGTCCAACACGTCCTCACCCCACCCCCGGTCACTCTGCACCCAGTCCTCGCTTTCTACATGTCACATTGAAACTTTAACTTCTTGGGCATCTCTGGCCCTTCTTGATATTGAAAGTTACAACATCAAAGGCAACACCAGCGATGTTTTTGTGAGTCAGAGCTGCCTCTCCGCAGACGAAACCCCAAATTTGAGGTCTCCCTGACGACGGGGACTCAGAGGCCTAATTCCCTAGAGAAACTCTCCAAGGCTGGCGTTTAAAGTATGGATATAAAAGTTGTGTATGAGCAAACTGCAGAGTGGAATATTACATTGCTAAATTCTTTTCTGATATTACAAAGCCTCCCCCCAAAAAAACTTTTATCATTAGTTGTCTCCCTACTTTAGTGATGTGGAAATTTTCTGAAGAGTTTCAGATTTCATTGCAAACCTAGACAAAGGCTTTCTTTAAAGCGGTTAGCCAACACTTCCAAAGATCCTTTGTGAAATTGTTGTTCCCACTTGGAGCTTCCCAGTCCAGCCTTAGCGGTCCTGGACAAGATTTTCATGACATTTTGGTTTGGCCTGATTTAGTCTGATGACTCAGAAAGCAGGCAAAGTGTAAGCACATGGCTGAAAAAACAATTAACCAATCTTCCCCCCGCCCCCAATAAGAAATTAACATATATTTTATCTGTAAATATCAATCACAGTGATTTAGTTAAGATTAGAATTTTAAACAAGGAATTTACCGAAAAGAAGGGATTTAGGAAACATGAGAATTTAGGAAATCAGAACTTTGGGAACAGAATTTAAGAAACTGGAGGTTTCCATAACGAAGTATGAAGTATAGAAATGGAAAAGCCAGTTCTCAAGCTTTCCATCTGAAAGAGGAAACCATCTTCAGTTACGGGCATCAAGAAAACAAAGCTACTCCATTTGAGCCACCAGAAAGTAAATTGCTTTTTAATTACTCTAATTGAGGATTAGCATTCAATTATTTATTAGAAGCATGCTCCGTTCTGTAAATTCAGAATGCTTTGAAGAAAATGAACCCACTTATAAAGTCTCACTAAACCTGTCTTGTCCTCCGCTCTACAGACAAACCCCTCACTAAACCTGTCTTGTCCTCCGCTCTACAGACAAACCCAAAGGACGGGAAACAACTTCTCCATAGCTGTCCCCTATCCTTAGGTCATACCCTTTGGTTTAAAATGTGTACCACAGACTTCCGAGTCTACAAGGCACTAGGAGCCAAGGTAATGAAGAAAATTAACTTACAGTAATAGATGCAGTGCTAACAAGAACACTGAGCAGACCACAAGACAAAAGGGAAATAAACTCACTGCGATCCTGAATCCTAGTGACCCCACAGGACAGAGTAGAACAACCCCTTTGGGCTTCCAAGACTTGCCATCTCTATGGGACAGAAAACCTTGTCTTCCTCCCGAGGAGCCGCTGGCTGTGAAGCGCGGGCCTGTGGTCAGCAATTCTGTGCACGGCCCACTACACCATCGGGGTTCCTTCCTTTTGATAAATCTTACAAGGAATTCCTACTCATGCTTCCTGCCATGATTTGACACTCTAGAAAATAAATTCACTCTTTCAGCTAGTGTCAAATATAATATAATGTCTAGATATCCGTTTGGTAACTTTTCTTTGTTTGGGGTATGTCCGCTTTAATTTCAACCACCAAGGACTGACGCACAGCAGGTCCAAAAGGTTCTCGTGCCTGGTAATGTTCAGCCCACGTCAGCCACCTCCGTGGTTTAAGTGGATTCGTTCAGTGATTTTGTGAGTAAGCACACAAAAATGGAAACAAATCAGGATGCAATCTTACAAAACAACTCTGCTGCTCAGAAGTTGGCTGGATTATCTCAGGGGTCTCTAAAGACCACCACGGAAGCAACGATGACGTCCCTTGAACTATTTTCAAGCGGTAATCATCTACACATCCCCTACGCTTCTGCCCTCTCTACATAACCCACATCAAAAGGGGAAGTCTTCAAATCCAGGTGTCTCACCTGGCTCTCTCCAAAACTCCAGTGGGTGCAGACGTATTGAAGGGGGACTAAATAAAGAATGTACCAAGGGAAAAGAAGACTCGACTGATTCTGTTCTGTTTAGAAGGCTCTTCACTCTAGCTTGCTTAACAATGAAACTGTATTCCCATCCTCTCTTAAGTGCTTATAGAAACTGCTGATCCCCTGCTTTTATAACCCAAGAAGGGAACCGAAAGCTTGGTGAGCTATTTTCTCAGCACAAGTCAGACACATTTGAACTATTTCAGGCTACGTGACTAAGTTGCTTCGGACTGCTCAAACCAACACAGAAAAGTGATGATGGAGGCATGAGGTAATAAACCGGCACCGGAAGTGAAACTACAGAATCAAAGTTAAGTACGAGGTGCAAACGAAGCCACTAGAAAGTTCCTGAAGAATTCACCATTAGCACATGCTCCTCAAGAACAGAGACCCTCTTGAGATCCCGGAGATCAAAGTGAGGCTCTGACCAGACTTGTTGGCTATGAGGTTTAATGCTGTTCTATCTTTGCCTTCACAGAACAGGCCTGTTTTTAAAACAACCAATGATCTGTCGTCTTCACGAAACAGAAATGTCCATAAGCAACTTACAAGGTATATCCTTGCCACGTCCAGGTCACCGTGTCCTACAATAACAAAATAAAGTGTTGGTTTGGAAAACAATGGACTACATGAAAGAAAGATCTTATTTTCATATTTACATTCCTGTATCCACCCCCCCACCGGATTAAGAGCAATGTGCATATTATTACTGTTAAAGAACAGGATTCGCCAGTCTTAGTATCAAGCGGCAGTGAATTCATCTATGAATGCGTGGCTGCATGAAGATACATAGGAAGATCTGGAAATAAGTTGTTCTGGAATTTTTAACTGTTTTCTTTCACTACTGTGCGTACTTGGCTATTGCTTTTTCCTAACATGAATATATGTGGATTATTGATTGACTGATGAGAAACACGTCAGTTCTGAAGGGGAAAAAGGGTTATTTGGGAGTACAGACTAAAATCGTAGCGCATCAAGGGATTTTTAATGCATGGTGAATTCAATGCCATCGGCAGAAGCATAAGTACGTTTTAATTATCTAATTTTTTTCTCTTTTATTTTCACCTGTTGTTGCTGTTGAAAATACACCTAGACCATGTGCACACTCCTTCATCAGTCTCTAGCTGTGCCATTGAGTGACCTGGATTATACTCAGCTCATGTAATCATTCTCATCTTCCTCAGAGTTGCTCCTTCCCCGGGCATGTAAACTCATGACCCTCTACCTTTCTGCGGAATCTTTTTAGTGGCTGTTGTTAATCCATCACATCTAAAGCTTAACCTAACTCATTGCCCTCAAGTCCTTGCCAGTGCAGGGTCCCTGTGGCTAGAAGTCTTTCAGTGAGCAAACAGCCCTATCCTTCCATTGAGCGGCTGGTGGGTCGGAACTGCCAACTTGACAGTCCAACAAGCATCCGAGAGCGCCACCAGCTAATTCTGGAAAGAGTACCATGCTTGGTTTACATAAGGCTTCAGAATTGCAAATTCTCTGGGAATCCAGACTTTACGGAGCCATTGAAGTTGGGCAAACTCCAGACAACTATTGTTCTGAGATCATCTTGAAACCTTGCACCAAAAATATGCCCTGCAGTTTTCTTTAATTCCCTTTTTTTATTATTAGGAAAGCCCAAGATTGAGAAACTAGCCACTGAGTAAAAAGTTAAACTGTAGGGAAGTCTCTTGTTTCCGTCTCCCAGATGATACTTTTCCAGTGGCCATGGCATCGGTCCTGACCACCCGGCCGAGGGGCGTCCAGGAGCAGAGCTGGGCTTCACGGCATTGCCAAGGGCTCGTTTCTCAGAAGACCACCGGTCTTCCTTCTGAAGTACCTCGGAAGAGTTCTAACTGCCGAGGGTGTGGACCCTGATGGAAAATGACTCTCTGTCCCTTCGCTAGTGCAGCGGTTCTCAACCGGTAGGTCACGACCCCTTTGAGGTTCACCCAATTCATCACAGCAGCAAAATGACAGTGATGAAGTAGTGACACAATAATGCTATGGTTGGGGGGTCACCACCACACGAGGAACTGTATGAAAGGGTCGCAGCATGAGGAAGGTTAAGAACTGCTGCTCGAGAGAATAACGTTCTTCTCAGAGCCGTTGAGCACCTTTTCCCTTAAAAAGAAAGGGAAAAGAAAAGAAAATCCTCCTTTAGGAAAATGGTGGCACGATCAATCCAGAGGGCAACAAGGAACTCAGCTGGAGGGGACAGAAACTGTTCTGTGAGCGACCTCGGGACTTCGTACAGTGTGCTCATTTCTTGTCCAATCCTGTTGATTTAGTTAAGCTACTTGCCAAGAGCCACACAGCTAGTTAAGCACTAAACTAGTCATTATATGGCATGCCAAATTACCTTTCTGGACTAAGTGAGAATCACAAATTTATGCCAGCTCTCTACTGTCCATCCTAATGAGACCCTGACCCTGGGACTTCCCCACACCGACATAGGGACCACAGAGGGGGCCTACGGAACTGTGTTATGGAATCTTAACAATATGGCCTACTAGCATTTAATAGGGCATTACCAAACGGAGCCTCTCTTGCAAAAAGTGGCCAGCTGAAGGAGTTTTCCCAATGGTCTCCTCACACCTTACTTAACTAGGACAGAGTCCTAGGGATCATGTTGTTTGGGAAGCCTGGCAGGCTGCCACAGTCGAACGCCACACTTACCAGCTTGTTTGGGTATCTGAGGAGGATAGGTTGCACTGGGACCCCAGGAATGAAGGCTCCTGTAAGCACAATGACATGTCAGAGCATGCTGTTCATGCTAACACGCGTTCACATGCAAGAAAGGCTATGGGCTAATTTAAGAGTAAACGATACCATTTTCTACATGTTGGCCAATTCTACCATTTACCAAAATCTGGGCTTTAAAAAATTCAGGATGCTTGAAGCAAACTTTTAAATGCTGTGTCTCAGACACTTGAAATAAGTGTTTATATCCCCACTCTATTTTTTTTTTTTACTTTCAAATACCTATATTTGACACACAAAAAACTCCAAATTCCCTGCTATCAAGTTGATTGCAACTAACAGTGACCCTCTAGGTCAGGCTAGAACTACCCTTGTGGGTCTCCAAAACTATACATCTTTACGGGAGTAGAAAGCCTCAGCTTTCTTTTGCCGAGCGGCTGGTGGTTTCGAACTGCTGGGCAAGTGGTTAGCAGATGGAGGGAGGAGTAACAAAAGCAAGGCAAAAAGAAGCGAGAGGAATCCAAATGCATAAAGTCAAGATGCATCACCACACCTGCTGTGAGTCACCTCTGGGTCTGAGCAGTCTAGGGGCCAGCACCAAATCATCTTAAAGTGCAAGTGGCTATGGAAGCTGCATCCCAGACGTCTTAATGCTATGAGAGGTGACCATCAGAAAGCATCCCCAGACCTAATAAAGGTAACGAAGCAGGTCCTCTACTTGGTGATATGGGACCCCAGGGGAAAGGGCCCTCCAGAGAGGATTATGATCTCAAACAAGAAAGTAAAGCAATAAGTGGTTTCACAGTGTTAAAAACTTTTTAGCAGGAAAAAGAAAGAGAGAGAGAGACGCTCAGGGCCACTTGAAGTTATTTTTGTGTATTACTGGGAAAGATATGAGAAATCTCCCATAATAGATCATTTAATTTCTCTCACCTGGTTTAAAAGTAATCAAACAGGAACGATTTGTACAAGTGCCTTCTGGGAAAACTAGTATCTTGGGAAGAAAGGAACAGATTTAATATTTCAGTCTAATTAGGAGATCACTTCTTCACTCAGTTTCTTATGACTTTACATAGAGACGCTAATTCTTTTAAAACAAGTAAACACGTCACAAAAGTGTCACACTTGGCAGAACCGCTACAGTCAGCTCTACTTTAGAAGCAACGTAGTCTGATTGATAAAACAACTAGAAAACAGATCTAGCTCTGCCTAAAGAACAGACTTGCTTCTTATTGATATCATAAAGGTCTATGAAAATTGTAAAGAAGATGGAACCCTTACACCCTGGTCAGAGTGTCCATAGCCACATTGAATCCTTGCTTCAGCTGCTGTGCATCCTAACTGCAGTCATGTCCTCTGGGCTTGCCTGCTCCCCATCTCATGATGCTTCCTCCCCTAAGATATCGTTTAGAGAGGTCTTGAGGACAGCAGAGGAAATGCTCACAATTTGCTTTCTGCTAACATGAAGTAGTGGACAGATGGAATACAACTTAACCTCGTTCCTTAGGAAGTGTGTTGAGCTTCTAAAGTACTTCCTATGTTCCCCACGTGTAAGATGTCTAGTACAGCTGCTCTCCCGTCACCTGCGTGAAATCGTAACTGGACGTGATGAGGTCTGAAGAAATTAGAGGTGAGTGAATTAATAAGTGTATATATAAATGTCAGAGAAAATCCCTGCGCTCGCAGCGCTGAGTCATGTGTACTTTATGCTAATTAGAGAGGGAAAGCATTAATAGACTAACTTGCTATAATAACAGGTGGATTGTAAGATAAGAATGATTAAGAAGTATGATTCCAACCTCCAGTGTAAACAATTACGAGTTCACATGACAATTGGAGATAATATCGAATATTATTTGTTCAGTGGAAATTCTATAGCTATGCTATTTAGGGTGAACGTATGAGAAGTGAATCATAAAATCTTACAGCTAGAAGGGGCATTAAAAGTCACATCACATCTGGAATACTTGAATTCTTTCTACAATATCCCCCCCAAGTGGTTGATTAGCCAATGCCTGGAAATTCCAGGAAAGGCACCGAAAGCAGCTCATTCTACTTCTGAAATGAGTTTTCTTTCTCAAGATGGGTAAAATGAGCTGGCACCTGCGGCTTCCCGTCTGCCGGGCCTAGATAGACTCCTGAGATACAAAGCAAAACATAAGTCATGCCAGCTGTGTACAAGCATTCCTCACATGCCTTCGTTTCTGAAACCTTCAGGTTATGCTAATTCCTCTTAGTTCACCGTGTCCACGTCACCCTGGGTGGACAGACTCTTGCAAGCCCACTCGTTCTGCTAGAGAACACCGTGACAGTGAAAGAAAGCTGCTAGAATCACCCCCAAGGCTTTCTTGATGCATTAAGTGCTGTCCCTTCCACGGCCTCAGAATTCGCGGGGGTCCGAGGGTGGAGAGCTGCAGTTTGTTCTACAGGTGATTTGGGTATGTCCTGAATTGAAAAACACTAACCATACTTCAGATTAGGATCAAAGATCCTACTCACCCTTTCAGTAAAGCCACCTGTACTTGGAAGTAGAGAATTCTTTTACATGATACAAATTAAAAGTAGTTCAGAGTTAGGCGGGTGGAAAAGAATGAGATATTTATCTCCATGGGGCACCACATGGGGAAGAAGATTTCTTAGTCCTATTGCAACTATTCTGCATCGATTACACCAAAGAGACCCAGCCTAGGTGTCCAATACACTGCTATCTCTGGATCCGAATGAGCACTGGTTACAACTTCACAAGAATTGACTCAGAAGATTTGAATGAGCATTTACTGTGTTTTACCTGGGGCCATTCCCCGCCTGATGCTGTTCGCTTTATTATTTCATTTATTGTGTTTTTTCGGGAATCTGGATCCACACGGGAGACCAACACTGGCTGCAAAGCCCGCAATAGTCCTTTAAGACAACAATAGCACCAACAACATCACAATCAAGCTTTTTCTCTTTTTTTTGCCTAGGGTCACCAGGGCATCATAAACAAATTTTATGAGAAATTAAATGTTCGCACATCAAAGAAAGAAAAAAACAAAATGAAATGAGTCTTGAAGTCAAAGCTTCTTAGAATGTAGTTTTGAATTTCCAAAAGAGAGGTAAATAGTTATATCTAAAAACATTTAAGCAGCAAGAACATGAAAAGAAACCGATGCCACTTTCTCCTTCAAAGTTTTTCTTAATTGCCGCTGGCATAGAATTCAAGGTCATCTTGTCTTATTGTAGGAAGAACTGGCACACTGGTGATGTGAATTCAAAGTACAGATAATTGTGGAAGAAATGTTTATTCATTTTATTAAAAATGTTGGCACAAATCCTTCTAAATAACTAGCCCTGTCCTAGCACATGCACAATAAATCACAATTTACTGTGGATGTTTTCCTACGTGCCTCTTTAAGAAATAGCCATATGAGACAAAACCAGGTGCTTTGTTTTGTTCCGGTCTTTCTTAGCCAAATGGCAAAGCTGCAGGAACTGTTGTTTCTCCAGAGAACCCAGGCAACGTTCACAGTCACTCTCTCGTCACTTGATGTTCGCAGTAACCTGGGGAGGGACAACCGGGCGCAGTTACTTGGTGATTAGTGCCTCAGAGAGGGCCCAAGGCAACGAATGGGGAATACATTTCACTAGCTTCATTATGTTTTATGGAAGGAAGCACTTATTGTTCCACGTAAAAATTTTCAGAGTTACACACTGATCCCTCCTGGAGGTTTGGAGGCAATAACGAAGAAAACAGGAGGAAAGAGGTGGTGTGTTTCAGCAGGACACCATGAAGAGACATTGATGAAGTAACATTTAAGCCCCCCCCCCACTCATTAAAAATAAAATTAATTGTGAATTAGGTGAATGTTTCCAAAGAAGGTCATCCGCTTCAAACTCAACTAGATGTACACCTTTGGTGCTAACCCATTGACTGCAATCCGCTCAATGTGCAATCGCTTGCCCCCCTGCCTGTTTCTGCACCTCCTTCCTGCCTAACCCGCCCAACTTTGCCCTTGGGAAAATGCCAACATGTTTTGCTTTTCAATGGTTGATAAGGGCCTGAGTCTCGGGTCCCAGGGATGCCCCGCTGGGCCAGAGTCTCAGCGTTTCCCCATTTCAATCATGGGACTCTGTTGTAATGCAGGAAAAGCTAACAAACCAACACAGTTTCTCTTTCGAAGCCAAAGTGATTCCTCTCCATCAGAAGAGGATGTGAAAAAATGCCTGCAGCTAGGACTTAGAGTCTCCTCTCCGAAGCAGAGAAGACAATCTGCCAGTGAGTAAGGCCAGACTCCCCCAGAAGACCCCTTTCCCTGAGCCCTGTCCGTATAGCACCCCTCGACTTGCTGTCGAGAAAATCGATTTGCATGGACTAGGTCTACTCTAACTTCCTAGGTCAAAATAAAACAAGCTCGATGCCATCGGATCGATTCCAACTCATAGCGAGTGTAACGCAGACAGGGGCTAACGAACTGCCCCATGGGTGTCCAAGACTGGAACTCTGCGGGAAGACAAAGTCTCGTGTTTCTCCTGTGGAGCAGCTAGTGGTTTCAAACTGCTGGCCTTGCAGCTCGAAGTCTAACACGTAAGGCACTAGGCCACCAGGGTCCTAGTGTTCAATCTACACTCTCACTCTCCTTCCCACCCGTCTGGTGAATTGGCTCACTCTGGACAAGCTGCCCATTCAGCCCTGTGTGTTTATACCACCAGTCTCTATCCCAACGATTAGGTAGCCAGAACAGGGACTGAACAGGGGTTGTCTTCCCAGTGCCTGTGTGGGGCCACAACAGAGGCGTTGCAGAGAAATCAGGCAGCCATTGGACACCTATGGGAAAAGCCAGAACTGGGCATGTGCAAACTAAGCTCCCCAGCACAGGTGAAACCTAACCCTAAAGCTATCTAGACTCCTGACATCACACAAGTATGCTTCATTCAGTCAAAGAAGGCAGTCAACTCCCTCAAACACCCCACCCCCCCCCAACCAGCGGGGCAGAATGGTATCAAGGCAGGGAGCACAGCCCTGCATGCCCCCTCTGGCCTCCGGGGACTCCCCCTTTCTGCGTACGTGGGTTTCACACCCCCCATTCAGGGATTCTTTCCACGTGGTGTTTCGTGCCCAGGTGCAAACCCTACACGGTTTCAGCACAGCCTGGCATGCTTTCTAGAAATAGTGTGTGCCCTTCCGCGACCAATACCTGAAACTTTCCCTTTCCCCCATAAAAACGCACTTGGATTACAAAAGGGCTTCTGCTGCGTGAACTCTGAGCGGGGTGCAGCCAAGAACAGAGGTAACCCGATCCAGAAATCTAACATGTCCAATAAACCTGGTCTCTATTATGATTTCGAGTTTTGTTCTGCATTTTTCTCCCACTCTATTTAAAACCTTCTCATATGAGCCTTTTCAGAGCAGCTTGTTTTAGGGGAAAAGAGACACCTCAAATCACAAATAGAATTTAAGACCATTTATGAATACTTAAGCAGCACGCAGACAGGACAAAGACACATCATCGGAGGAGGGAGACCATCAGCACAAGGTCATGACGACACTCAAGGTTTTAGAGACATGTTCCTTTAGGTAGGACCAAACAAAAAAAACCCTCACTGTCACTGAGTCCATGCCAACTCAAAGTGACCCTATAGGGCAGGGTTGGCCTGCCCCTGTGAGTTTCTAAGACTGTAACTCTTTGTGGGCGCAGAAAGCCTCATTTTTTTCCAAGGAGCAGCTGGTGGTTTTGAACTGCTGACCTTGCAGTTAGCAGTCCAATGTGTAACCACTGCACCACCAGGGCTCCTTTAAGTAGGACATAGGTGGGACAAAGGAAACTCACAAAAGCATGAGTGGTGGGAGAGGCTTCTTGTAGGATGACAGAAGCAGGGATGGGGTCATGATTGGGACACATACATTATGCTAGACAGAAGGCTTGACAAGATGGATTCAAACTAGGCAGGAGGGGCGTGACTCATTAAGAGCTTGCCCATGCAAGTCCCTGAGGGCTAGGCCACCCCTCCCAGAGGAGTGGCAGCAATCCACTTTCTAATTCACCCGGCCTGAGAGAGGCCATTCATTCACATTCCTAAACTGGTCAGAATCTGATGGAGGCGGAATGTATGTGGAGACTCACACATGGATTTAGTGCTTTCAGCAAACAGTGCTCAGAAATGTAAACTCTAATACAGTCTCCACATCATCCTGGAGTTAAAAATCCTCTGATCACAAATAACCTGCTAGTCACCACCTTCCATAGTGGGCTGCATGTTTTTGAGAAAAGTCTTGAAGACCCCTGGCCATGATTCTTTTCAATAGCCGGGCACCATCTGATTTCTTCACTGCACTTTGTAGGACCCATTGCTTCGGGGATCATTTCACTAGGGCAAGTGTTAGATTCCTCAGGTGGGAAATGCCTCAGTCCTTGGCTTCGCACAAGAAAGAAATTCGCACCGAAGCCTGGTTTGTGATCCAAGTGAGTCTCCAATAAGGAGAGAGAAAGTTTCAGGCATTACAATAACTGAACACAGGGCCCCTCGGGGCACTGCACACCCACGAGGTGGCCTGAGGCCAGAGAGCGAGACTGTGGCCTGGCTGCAGCCCAGCCAAGCAGAAGACACAGGAGCAGCTGGAAAACAGAGGGTGGTCTCCCGGTTTGGCCTTTGGGGACCTTCTGCTGGGGGGAGGGGGGGGGTGTTTGACAATACTGGTTGACCACATAGGCTGAATTAAGCCCACTTGGCCTAGACTGGGCCAATCCAGGTGTAGCACCCACCTAGGGATACCGCCCCCGAATTGGCGCATGCCCTTTAGCCTTATATGTCAGGTTCCAACTTCCTGTGAGAGGGGTGCTTGGCATGAAGAGGAACACCCCCTGGACCCTGTTCTGCTCCCTAACACAAGTATTCATCATGGCCACTTTACAAGAAATAACTGTTCTCATATTAGGGCTTAAGACTGAATGTGAGCTCAAACCCATTTGTAAGATTTTAATCGTTCAAGTCAGGTTTATCATTTTGATTTCCTGTAGTCCTCTCCCCAATACTGTTTGGCAACCAGTTTATTCCCAGCCCTCCATTATGGACGCCAGAGGGAAATCCCTGGAGGTTTACTTCCTGGGTAGATCTCATGAATGCAGTTTGTTCGCTTGCTTGCTTTTCCACATTGGGATTTATCTCTGATGTATTTTGTCATTGGGGGTAGCCTCCTTGAATTTTGGTGGCTTGTTTTTCTGTATTTGAAATCCAGGATCGAGGAACTAACTTAGAGTGAATGCAAGTAGAATGAGGGTTCTTGGAGGGCACAGGGGCCACGGGAATTCAAGAAGGAAGAGAGGGTTTTGAAACGGATCGTGTTAGCAACTGTACAACACTGCTTGGTGTGACTTTGCTATGGAATGGTATGATAGCTGTCTTAGCTCCCAATAAAATTGTTTTGAGAAAAAATTAAGAATATATCTTAAAAACTCATTTATATATCTATGGAGATGTATGTCTACTGTCTGCTTCAAGTGCAGCTGATTAGCTTTAGAGGAATGTTTTAAGTATCCTCCATTGAGCATTTGATAATTCTAGTAAGAATCATTGGTCTAATCAAACAATATAGATGTCATACTGTTAGGTAGCCAGACAGGGACTGGGGATTGTCCCTCCCATGCCCCATAGAGGGGATTGGGAAGGAACCAGGCAAGCATTAGGCACCTATGAAGACCATAACTGTACATGCTCAAACTCAGACTCCAAGCCAGGTGGGTTTTACACCTGGGCAGCCCAAACGAGACCCAGGTAGGCTCAATTCAGCCAATGGGTTGACCAATACTTTCAACCATGCCTCTCCAGCCATGGGTTTGAAATACGCTGGCAGTAGGAGGGCCCGGTCTCTTTGACCGCTCCTGGTCAGTGGCAGGTTGAAAGGATTCTCTCCTCTCTTTGACCCT